TTAATTAAAATGAAACATGCATCAAAAACTAACATTTTCACTCATCAACAAAAAAAAGTCAACTAGCATCCGAAACAAGCCCCGTAGTATGCATCCTTATATGTATCATCCATGCAATTTGGTTTGAACTCATAGTTACTACTTTGAAATGAATTATGCACCAAAAAATTTAACCTATTCACCGAGCCGGAAAATGTTGGTCATATTCAGCATCCGAAGCAAGCCTGGTAGTATGCATCGTTATATGTATCATCCATGCAAGTTTGGTCAACATAAGGCTTCTAGTTATTTGGAAATGAAACCTGCACCAAAAACTTTTACCTGTTCACTCAACCGGAAAATGTAGGTCAAATTCAGCATCCGAAGCAAGCACCGTAGTATGCATCCTTTTATGTATCATCCATGCAAGTTTGGTCAACATAGAGCTTATAGTTACTTGGAAATAAAACCTACACCAAAAACTGCACCAAAAATGTTAACCTGCTCTAAAAACATTAAAGCTGACATGAACTCTTAAAAAGGCATCAGTTTTCATCTTTGTACGACTTACTACATTCCTGTACGCCCTTGTCCGACATATTTCTTTGATTCCGCCATATTTAATCGAAGATTTTTGGCCACCTGTACCTGCTATATATAGCCCTGTAGAATCGTTTCACTTGGGTGATTTTCTAGTCTGGCTGTCGACATGTACACATCTCCGATAGCATACTTTTTAGAAGTCCATAAACTGACCAATACATGTTTGAAAAGTAAAAATTCAACAAAAAATAGAACTATACCGAAAATTAAATTATTTTTGAATGCATTTGCTGCAATATAAAAAGTACACTAACACGGAATACATTTATGTACAGCGAAAATCCATGCAGGTCAAGAAAACGCGTCAAACGCAGTGAAAAAACATTTACCTGAATACTGCTATCGTTACAGGGATGTGCACATGTCGAAAGAATTATCCTATTTTACTTTTATTGAAAAATACATCTCAGAAGTCATGTAATCCATTGCTAACTCAATAGTAAAAGATGCTTGGACACACGTGGCCCATGCCGATCATTTTATTTGGTCAGGGAAAATATCAAAGCTTGAAAGGTTGAAAGTTCAGTGTGGTTGATTGAAATTTTTTTTCAAAAATAAACATTACACTTGTTTGTAAATGTAGTAAATAAAATTTATGATGACTTGGTTTAACTTCATTAAATTTATAATAAAGCATGCATTATTACGAATCATTCACCTTTTGAAGACATTTTCCTGTGATAGGAGGAGGGAGGGGGGGGGGGTAAAACATGCATATTAACACTCTCATAAAAATGATTTAAGAAAAATGTCTGAAACAGATTCATTATTATCAAATAAATACTGTGTATAGGCTTTAAATTTTTATTATTTGATTTAAAGATATTTATAACTTTATGCACAATGAAAGAAAAAAAGTGAGCAAGTTCACATACCCCACGCTCCCCCAAAAGTCGAAGTGCTGAAATTCCCAGAAAGAAATAAAGGAATCGTAATTTCCATGTAATATGCTCATCTATACATATTGTGTCCTAAATATCTGCAAAGTTTGACGAAATTGTGTGCAGCGGTTTATGAGGAATTGCACTGACAAACTGTTCATCTCTATATTCAAGATATGGCCAAAATCTAAATGTGAAAGTGCGGAAATTCCCGAAAAAATAAAGAATTCGCAATTTTCTGGTGATGTGCAAATCTACACACACTTTGTCTCCTATAAATATCTGCAAAGTTCGACAAAACTCTGTGCAGTGGTTTATGAGAAGTTGCGCTAACCAAAAAAAAAAAAAAAAAAGAAAAGAAAAGACTGACGGATCAAAAACATTATACCTCACGCAACTTATTGCGAGGGGTATGATAAACGAGTTTGATTCTGTGGTGCAAATGATAATGAAAATAGAATTTAATGTGAATTAAATTTCTAGATATAAATAATTAATGATTATTAGAAAAAGCATATAGGAAGAGAGAGCAAACTCCACGTGAGAATTCCACATTCTACCTACAATTAGCTTTTTAAAAATTCTCTTGTCTGTTGTCCAGGTCCAGGTTCGACACGTACGTTTGAGAAGGTTTTTGAGAGAGTTCCCATTCATGTGATGTATATTTCACGTTTATTTTATCCCCCGCTTGAAAAGTGGGAGGGTATATAGTAATCGTTATGTCCGTCCGTCTGTCCGTGCGTCTGTCTCTTACTCTTTGGGTACCAATCTCGTATCCGAGGGGGGGGGGGGGGGGGCGGGGGGAGGGCTGCCTGCCCCCTTTTTTGCAGAGCAGGACCTGACTTATACTATAAGAAATGTTAATTGAAGGTGTGTTTTTTGTTTGTTTGTTTTTTTTTTTGCTTGTCAACTTTTTAAGGTAATTAAAAAAAATTCTCGGACTGGCCACCACTTTCAAATACGATGCTACGTGCCTGCTTTTTGATTCGACACATATTTTGGGTTTAGCGACAACAGCAAAATATGGACTTTGCCATTATAACCATATATATGGGAGGCGGGGTATCATTTAGTGAGCTCATTGCTCACAATACCTCTAGTTTCTCTTTCAATTTGGGCGTTTGGGTTAATTTCTTGTCCAAATTAAAATTATTATTCAATTTATGAAGTTTCGACATCCCGCTTGAGAAAAATCCTTGATCAGTTCTAAGGTTTAATAAATGGTACAGCACAAAGTGCGTAGGTTTTTATACCTATTATTGCCCTAACGGATGGGGGAGAGAGAGAGAGAGAGTTCAATATACAAAAGAGTTAATAAAAATTATCCGTATACAACCAGTGTCAAGTATCACTACCCTAGCTCTTAAAATTATCTCTCAAATACTCCTAAAGAAATTATTTTTATACAAAAAAATAGCTAGACTATCAGGCAGGGATACTGAAATCTCGAAAGACTCTCTGTAACAACATAAAACAGTTACATTCCTCAAAATGCACATACTTTGTGGTCGGAGTGACACATTTTAAAAAAATCTCAAAATTGAGTTCGACATAAATGTCTGTCTTCCAAGAATATTCAAATAACGGCCACGTCACTTATTTTTGCATGCCCCCCCCCCCCCCCCCGCGCCTAAAAAAAAATCAAATGCCTAAATGTCAATCTGAACAGGGGATGGCCTTTTCCGTGTGTGTGTGTGTGTGTGTGTGTGTGTGTGTTAAAGAACGTATAGATGTACACATAAAAATTTGTATTCTGGTTAATTGCTTTAAGATTTGAAGTAAATAATTACCGTATCTCAGATTACTTGGTTTAGATTTGAGATTAGTACTAAAATAATCAGTTAATATTGACAAATGAATTTTGCGACGCAAACCAACTGCAGACTATATACATGACTTTGTATAGAATGTATATTAGAACTACATGTAGATAGACCATATAGCTTATGAACAGCTGTTATAATAATTTAAACCCCCTCTTTTCAGCCGCGCAAATACCAAATAACTTCTCTTTCCACTTGTGATATTTTCCCTGACCAAAATGTGATCAGCACGGACTAAGTGTATCGACGTGTTAGTCTGTACGGAGTAATGACAGTGTGTTTACTGTTGAGCATTTATGGAGTTTATTTCTTTTCTGTGATGCATATTTCAATAAATGGGATTCAGGGTGTATATCACTTGACTTGTGCACATCTTCGAACCGATACAGTAACCTTATTTCCAGCTGTCCAGGTATGGGTACGTTTACAGCGTTCGAGGCGTTTTCTCGATATGCATCAATTGCATCTTTAGGACCTGCAAATCAAAGACGTAGGTTGTTTTGTTCCATTCAAATGATATAATTTCAAAATGTGTTTGCAGATTTTACTGCTTTTTATTTCAAGTTTATTCTGCATAAATTGGCGCATTGTAAAATACGTACTCATGCATCTAAATTTCTCTTCCAAACTTGCATTTTTTTCCTTTTGATTCAAATCAATAATTATTCAGAAATATGATTATTATGTTGTTTGTTGTGGTTTTCAAATGTCTTGATCACCTCATGTGTTCTCATATGCTTTACCATCGGAGATGTGCACAAGTCGATACTCAAGCCAAAAAATCATTCAAGTGTAACGACCGCATTGGGGTATATATCGTTACAATGAGACAATGTATCTGAAAGAAATATGGCGGAGTACGGCTATAGTTGGTATGAAACAAGTCGTACATAGATGAAAATGTTGCGTTTTTAAGAATTCATGTCAGCTTTAACCTGGTCATTCCTTTGCTGACATTGAAGCATCTGAAACTTTGACTGGTACAATGAAACGCACTAGAACCATCTTCCATGCATGTCTAATCAATATAGGACATAGAAGTACTTAAAAAGAAAACTGCTCCAAAAAACTTAACCTTAACCTAGGACGTTGACACCTAGGGTATTACATAAGCTCCCCCAACTTCGTTGAGGTGAGCTAAAAATCCAGTTAACAATTCCAGAATTTCAATTACCTTTAAATCGTTATTTTAGGAAGACAGCTGGTGCTTCATTATGTGAACACAACAATATAAAAATAACTCTTTCAATTTATGTCACATATATTTTACATTAACTTCAGTGTACACGTACACGCAAAGTTTAGGGAAAATCTATCACCTGTATATTTTTGGGACCATCTCAAAATACAGATATGGTTACTTTAGGATTATATGGGAATTTTTTTCACACTTCCAAGCAAAGTTAACAAATACACTGGATTTTAATACATAACGAGTGATAGTATATTGCATATTATAATTGAGAAACAAAATTTTATCATTTGATTTCCACATCGAAATGTAAAACTTGACAGATACAACCTTGTTTGTTTTTCCGACACTTCTATTGTGCAGTCCTTTCTTGCTTTACACTAGTGCAGGTTAAGTTCTCAAATCTTCACTATAATCATAATTTTTTTCATAAATCTTTCTATGTATAATACAGATATCTTAAAAGAAACTCATGATTTTGACTCATTATGTAACTTGAACTGACTTTTGGCAATTTTCTAGGTCAGATGTACAGTAAGGATGAATTGTGTGAGCTGCGGTACGGCCCTAATTTCCACTTCCGTAATTTTTCTGTACTTGGGGTAAGAATACCATTTTTTTTCACTATGGCAAATTTAGAATTATGGGATGTTCTGTAAACATATCAAGTAGTGCATGCGTTTTGATATCTTTTAGGATTGCGAGTATTATCATAGCTGTGTGGATCTCAACGAAGGGAATTTATTTGGACAATTATTCACGACAAAAACGGGTACTCTTATCGGAATATATTGTGGCACAGGCAAAGTAAGTCCTAAAAACTTAACAATGGGAGAAAAAACCTCCATTTTTTTCTCTTTAAGCTCAAATATTTATAGCTATTCTAAAGCGGTAAATCGGTCAAATGTTCAACAGATATGCATGAAACGACAATGTCGGACTTTTGAAGAGCTCAAAATGAAACCAGGCTTGGTAAGGCCCGGGGGATGGGGACCGTGGGCAGATTGGCAGCCCTGCTCCAGGACTTGTGGGACAGGGCTAACCTACAGGAGGAGATTCTGCAACAATCCAAGGTTTTATATTGATTTTTTTAAAATATCTTTCGCTATTTCAAAGCGCTTTAAAGTTTTAATATATACATTTTTCGCGATAAATGTACAATGCTGTATGTATATGTAGTTAGAGTAAATGCTCTTTACTAATTTCAGGACATAAAAAAGGTTATTTTGTATTGAAAATGCATTTGATTTTTATGATATGATTTATGCTCGGTACCTGAGAGAAAACTTGGTATTAGCTATAGGTGGTCTAAGTGTGAAAGGGGGGGGGGGGGTTGATGATAGAATTGTTGCTGTTCAATTTCTAGAAAACGTAATTTGGACTTTGAAATGGCTCATTATTACCGTTTTATTAAATTATAAGCTGAATATTAAGACACATGCACCATGGAAGAGTTTCCGTACATTCGTAATACCGTAGTAAGCCGTCGATTATAAAAGTCGGCACTTCTCGCAAAAGTCCATCAATCCCATCTATCAGTGTCATTGATATTAATCAAGTTGGTTTTGATTTTAAAACATAAGCATGATGCTTAGAAAAGAATCCTTTGCGGACTGGTTTAATAATCAGTTGTAAAATTATAGTTTAAAAATTTCAAAAAGTTGTGTAACCCGGGGTCTTAGGGCGGTTCGAATTCTGTATGGATGGATGACTAACTCCAGTAACGTTTACATCATTTATTTGGATACATTGATGAAATGACAGATGATAGAATGATTCAGATTGACCCTGTAACATAATAAAAGCTTAATAAACAACATTGCAAGAAAGATAACTCTTACGCTCATGTTTCAGAATAAAATGAAAATACCAGTTATTTCCCTTTATACACAAGACTCAAAAATATTTGTGTCTATCAAAATATCTCTGACTGCTCATTATTATAATAAACAAAATATTACAAATATACTGATAATATAAACTCATTCAAGTTTTACTGTGTACCATCATGTAAACCTCATTTCACATGAATTCATAAAGAAAATATTTACATGTATATTTCACCAGTATTGTGAGCCTAGATGTATCATGACATATATATTTCAAACATAATACTCTAGAAATAATGCTTACCTCACATGAGGTGTAAAGGTCATCTTACAATAAGTAATCTACTGTCTACATCCTTTGATCATGAGAATTCTAAAGGTAAAAATAAATACACTAACTTCAGCTATTCAGTTCACTGTGCTATATCTATAGTTATATTTAAATCCTGTATTTCTTTACAAAATAAATGTTACACTTATCCTCATGTTTTCAATGCAATCAGCCATTTAAATAGCATATGTATCTAAATATTTCTAATATCATAAAACAGATATTTATGTATATAATATAAAGACTATATAGGTAAATACAAATTAACTGACCTGATAATGAGAAAAGATTCCAATTACTGTAACAGGTATAAAATTCTGGACAAAAAAATGGATGACACAACAAAGACTGCAGCACAGGAACTATACATTTAACACACAATAGAAAACTTCCCTCCAAATGTATCACATGACCAAATTCTTTACAATTGACCACACTGACCAATGAAAAACAAGGAAAAGGATATTCCCTCTAAATATAGATACAGTGTGCAAAAGTTAAAAATATTCACATGAGTGATACACTTATCTTAGAAAATAACTTAAAGTAGCTTAAATATATTAATATTCAACAAATTCATGATTCAAATAATTTTTCTAAATAATGAAAATAATAAATTGAATAATCATAATAAATTGATAAAAATAACTACAAATTTCACTCTGCCACAGTTGCAGTTAGCTTTTTGTTTCAATTCAGTCCTTTGAACCATCCAGGCTGTGAAGGCGGAGATGACAATGGATATGAAGCCAGGACTTGTAATCCTGGGGTAGGTTGATAAGCGACTGTAACGTCCTTTGCAATTGCTAAAGTTTTAGAATCAGTTGAATCTAATACAGTAAAAATGCTAAAAAGCGCAAGTGTATATGCAATCTCATCTTTTTTTTATGATATTATTTAATTGTAGCCCTGTCCTAATGACAGTGCAGACATAAAAACGCTTATAAATCAGCGGGCGTCTGAGACCTGCAGTAGATTGTTAAAGAATAACGTATTAGATTCTGAAAAGTACACATCAGTAGGGAAACAAATGGACTGGCGTGGTAAGGGATTGCTTTTATATGCTTTACCAGCCTTACAATCTATGAATGAAATATAAAATTGTAAAGTGCATACAATTTTTTTCAACAATGCATCTAATTTACAGTAAAACTAATTACTGTAACACAAATTAAACAATAAAAATTATCACTTTAGATCACATGAAATGCGAAGTGTTTTGTGAAGCGGCAGCAAATTACACATCTCCAGATTATACAAGGTTTGGGTTGATGCCCCAGGGTACTCCATGTGAAGGACCCAATGTTGTTTTGGAGAAAAACAAGCTTGGCAAGAGAACCTACAGATGTTTGGATGGCTTTTGCAGGGTAATACAAGGGTTTTCCCAAAATTCCGTAGACTGAGCTCATATCGTTTAAAGAAATTAAGGTATCTCTCTAAAATTTTATGGGTGGATAAAACATGTTCCTAGCAAATCAGTAAATTTTATCATGTTTACTTGAAAACAATTCGAGTGATGAGGTTTGAAGTGATATCGTTCGCTAATACCCGGAGCAATCTGCAACGTCGAAAAAGATAATGCCGGCGGTTCAAACGTTTGGAGAGAATATTCCAATTACCAGATTCACAATCTTTAATAAATCAAAACGATTTTAGATATAAATGTGAAATGTCTTTATTATGATTTGATTAAACATTAAAATATGGAAACAAAGTATATGCATGCACAAGTATGAAATAATAATATTTTAAAAACCCTTTATTTCTACTGGCTTTTCGTCTGTCTTCTATAATGGAGTTGCACAATGGCACTCTTGCCCAGTTCTAAGATCTGTCTTTTTTTAGTTTCTGTTATTCACAAACATGGAGAAACAACTTCAGTACGCCATTCTTTCAAAAAGTCGGATTTCAACCCAGTTTTTATAAAATGTTTATAAAATTCATATTTGTGAAATCATAATCACCATAATTTGAGGAAATATAGTTAATAAAAAAAATAATAATAGGAGTAATGCAATATTAAGAATTTTCATTTCCATCCCTTCAATACTAAGTAGTATTTAATTTTCCATAGGATTTTAAATATAATATACTATTTTTTAACCCTTCAATACTAAGTAGTATTTAATTTTCCATAGGATTTTAAATATAATATACTATTTTTTAAATGCAATTTTTGGGTATTGCGCCACCTTCCAAATTCAGACAATGAACTTCATCATTTAAATAGGATTTATTTGAAGTTACTCCACATGTATCCATAAATTTATTGAAGTGTTGCTTTAATCTATGTACAATTTTTCATTGATATATGACATCGGGTTTATACAAAACAAAGCTCGTCTACGGAATTTTGGGACAACCCTCGTGCAGTAGTAATCAGCGATTATAACGAATAAGAATAAAGCCTAGCACTGCTTATAATGAAATTCTATGGTTCAATTTGATGTTATATTAATATTTCCCTTATCTTTTGTTATGTATAACCTTAGTTTTTTGGCTGTAACGGTAAGCTTAACGCTGAATATGACGACTGTGGTGTTTGTAATGGAGATGGTTCTACGTGTAACGTAGTGGAAGGGATTTATAAAGAGACTATTGCAAAAGGTGGGATGATATAATTGCTAACTTTAAATACCAAGTACTTATTTTCCTTTTTTTCTGTATGTATTATTAAAGAAGATTTTCACAAACTTTATGTATTTAGATTAAATTCATCTCTACAAATACAGTTTCCTCTAGCCTCTTACTATTAAATTGCGTACCTTTCACTGCACCATTAAATCCAGTTTCCCACCACCACCCCCAGCTGCCAATATATAAATAAATATCTTGTAAGTTAGGCAGTAGTCATTTGTAAAAAAGCAATGAACTTGAAGTTAAATAAAATTTAATGCCTAAAAGTGCGTTTCTTAACCATATATTAATCATCTTACGGCATACTGTTTTCAGCTTCAAGAAAAGTTATAACTGAGATACCTGTTGGAGCGTATAACATACAGTTCTGGTTTGATTTTTCAAAAATGCGTTGGAACCTAGTAGGTAAAGTGATTAATATTTACAACAAACTACTGTAATACTAGGCCAGGGAAAATTTCTTCTTTAAAACAGACAAGAATATTTTCAGAATCGACTTTTGAGAGCTCGTATTTTTTAAATAAATTATGTATATAAAATAAATTACCTTATACAACCGTATAATGTTTCATTTCAGAAATCTACAACAAAGATGGACTTGCAATTATCTCTAGCTTGCTTAAAGGAGTTTGGGATACGACAGATAATCCATTAAATTTCGCAGGAACGTATTGGTCCTACGTTTTCTCGAAACAATACGTGTATGCGAAAGGCCCCATCACTGAACCTATCATAGTTAAGGTAGCACTTGTATCGCAATAGCTTTTTACTATTCAAAGGTATTATACATACTATTTCACATTACAGAAATCCATATTTGTAATTTTGTAATTCACTACGAGTTGTATATTTTCAGCACTACCAATATCGAAACAATAAAAATACTGGCATTAACTATGCGTATGCTTTACCCAAATATGGTAAGTGGAAAATGAATCTGAAAAATTGAAATGTAATTTTTAAAAAACATTTTCAGTTTTACAAGCTACCTTACCTTTATCTTAATAAACATCAACATAACATAATGGTATTAGAAATATATACTTAGAGTCAATCATTTTAAGAAAATAATAGATCCAAATGCATATGAACGGTGGATTTCTATTTTGCTATATATGTTTGTGAACTGTGAAGAAAACTAACAGTTATCACCCTCACAGTACAAATAAGGAGCAGCTTGTTCAAACACTGATCTCTTAGCTGGGAACAGGTGCTTGGAGGAGTAAGCGTTCCCTGTCGATCGGTCACACCTGCCATCTTCTCCTTGTTACTATGAAGGCAATCCGTTGACAATTCATTGAGAAAATTATGGCTTTTTTATGAAAAACGTCATATTTGCCGGTCAAGGGTTTCTGATCCTCTTTTCTTCTCAGGAACCCTCGGTCTACGGTACTGTTAAAGGTAGTAAATGTTGTCAATAGCTTGTTTCGTTGTAGAATTCATACGAAGGGCATGTTTTGCGTTTCGGTTAAACTTGGAAACAAACTCAATATGCACGTAATACAATGGTTGTCCCACAAAAAGCAAACATTTTCAATATTTGTTGTTTCACTAATATTATAATGTTTTCAGTTGGTATACATCATAATTTAAAAAAATTACAAAAAATACGGACACTCCTTCAAAAAGTTTAATTTTTTAATTAAAAGTTTATTCCGTTAAAATCATTGAAGCGGTACGAAAAGAAATACTTGATCTGTATCTCATCCACGTACTTTCACATACGAAAAATCAGCAAGTTATTTCACAAATTGAAGACTAGTTAGTGATTAAAGTTCCTCAATATTAACTACATTGTATAAATGTCGTATTCTTCAGGACTATAAGTGAAAGGTGATGAACATAAACACTTAGGAGGATTATATATCCATGTGCTTGATATCTATTGTTTCTTTTGAAGCTAAGACTTGTCAAGGACAGTGTGCTAATGGTGGATTGTTTAACACAAAAATCTGCTCCTGTGACTGTCCCAGTGGGTTTTATGGTACGGTTATGCATATTGTAGTTACTTTATGTATTTTTCTTCTTTTTGTACAGATTTAAGTTAGACATTTTGTTTGCATATCTCTGTCTCTTTATTGTTTATGACATAAATTTCAATACGTTTTGGAACAGTGGTTGGAATCATCTTAAGTTTATTTTAGCAAATGTTTGATAATGGGGGATTTAGAAAATTCTTAAAAGTGAATATTTTTTAAAAGGGTAAGGTGTTTGGTATATAATGTATCCCTACTATTACAATGCCATGTAATATTATATTACACAAACGTCAATACGACTAGAAACAGGCGATGTCATGCAAATTATTAAAAAAAGAATATTAGAGAGTCCTCTTATGATATTTAAACAAATATAGATAGGAGGGGATTAGAAAATTCTTAAATGTGAATGGGTTTGTTTTTTAAAGCGTAAGCATTAAGAGATAGGAAATAAAACATAAAATACAATAAAAGTATTAGTAAAAGTGGATAAATGTACATATATTAAAAAGGTACTTGAGAAACTGTTATTTATTACGACTGGTTTGTTCAACAGGAAATGAATGCACCAGTCGCTGTAACACCTACTGCTACAACGGTGCAACGGTTGATCAAACCACCTGCGCATGTCATTGCAAGGAACACCAGACTGGAAGACAATGTAAATGTGAGGAAGGGTACGGCGGTGAAGACTGCAAAACTAAAATATAGAACGACGAAGCTGGCTCGTGTAGATTTCAATAAAAATAAAACCTTCTTTTCCCGGGTTTCTATTTTCGCGTTTTTTTTTTTTTTTTTTTTTTTTTTTTTTTTTTTTGTTTTTTGTTTTACAGACAATTTTTTGTACATTATTTACACACTGAATTGACTAGTTTTTTTATTACTCCCGATCATGACAAGGAGCACACGGCAGTCGGGTGTGACGGTCTGCAGAGGAAGCTCACTCCTTCATAGCACCTGATCCCACCTATGATGTTTGGAGGTCCGTGTTTGCTCTGCTCTCTATTTTTAAATGGACAACGAGCTTGCTTCATATTTCATTCATTACAAATGGTCTGTATGGTCTGGTCTGATATCCTGTGCCTTTAAGAGATATTATACAATTAACGTAGATCATTGAGGGGAGTTAGCAAGAATCCAGTTCACCAAAGGCCAGGACTATTTCTTGAGTCTCAGCCAAGGGAAATAGTCCTGGTCAAGGGGAACTGGAATCTTGCTAACTCTCTCAATGATATACCTGTACTTTTAACTGTTTTATTCTACCAATACAAAGGAGAATAACGAATGACGGGGAATTAGCTTCCGGACTAACGTACGAGGATTAGTCTATTAACATATTAGACAGATACAAAGTTAAAATCTAGAGCAATATGGATAACCGCGAAATTAGCTTTCGAAGTAGGGATTAGCTCATTTGACTTACGCATAGGGATTAGTCAATTCACAGAGATTTCAAGGGAATAATTCACATTTTATTGCTTATCTTCTATAAAGGAAAAAATCAGTAGAGGTATTATATGGAATACTATCAAAGATGAAACGTTGAAGATGAGTCAACTCCTAATTGAAGTGACCTTGTGCGGAAAACTTTTTGATTTTTTTTTTTGACTTTTTGATGGGGTTTGATTTCGTGGTTGGAGAAGAGTAAAGTTATGTTTATGAAAGTTTACATTTCGTGGGGGACGAGTATGTTGGTTCCTTCATATCTCGAATACAACAAAAATTAAAGATTTCTAAGTTTCATTGTAAAGGAAAAGAATGGAATACTACATAATTTTCATGGCTGTTTCTTTTGGTTTTTTCGGATGTTTAATTTATAATTAATTAGTTTATATTTCACATAAAAATAAGGGAACATATATAATCACATTATTTTATTAGTATCGCGAGTACTTCGCATTTATCTAACCTAGTATCACTCGTTTGAGAAGGAATCGAGGAAGCTCTTTTTTCTGGGGCATACTATTGTTTACATTAGTGACAATCGAATGAATCGAGCAATCATTATGCCACTGTAATTAGAAAAGTCCGCTTAGTTAAAAATTGTCATAAAATGTAACATATGGGGACACACATCTCTTAAAGATCTATTAGAATGATTCAGAAAATGTTTAGCAAGATATTTCACCTGGATTTCATTCTTTTCTACTATAAATTCCTCATTGATAGATCATTCTCTGTTTTCAATACCACTATAAAAGCACATTGCCTCCATCTAACAGACATTTCCTACCTCAACTGCGAAAAAGTTCGTTTAAGTTCAAGTTAAACACGCCTCTTACATGTAAATAGTCAAACTCCATTTTCGATCATACCAGCTACGATATCAACACCCAGGTATACTCTTCGCATTCGTTACACCTGACTGCTTTATTGACACGGGCACCCATACTAATGATATCGTGATTTAAATTCAAGACACGTGGTTTAGGTTTACCTATTCAAAGGTTATAGGGTAGAACCGGTTTTATAAATAAAATTCGCAGCAAACAGGAAATTGCCATAGTCTGTTTCTTCTGAAAACATGTCCTGTGAAAAATGTTTCCAGACCTTTCTGAAAGACTTTCATGATTATACCCCCCGCTTGAAAAGCGGGAGGGTATATAGTAATCGTTAATTCCGTCCGTCCGTCCGTCGGTCCGTCCGTCCGTCTGTACGTCTGTCCGTCCGTCCGTCTGTTACGCTTTAGGGTACCCATCTCTTATCCTCAACTCCTCTTAAACCACTGAGTGAAATTTAATGAAACTTTCACAGAATCTTTATTACATATTGCCATTGTGCACCTCCTATTTTATTTTTTGATCTGACAAATATTTTGGGTTTCCTAGCCACCACAAAACATGGACTTTGCCATTATAATCATATGGGAGGCGGGGGTGTCATATAGTGAGCTCATTGCTCACAGTACCTCTAGTTTTCAACAGAAATGGGTGGCTAAAGTTGGAAAGGGGGGGGGACAATTAATACATCTTATCAGAGTTTACTGCTAAAATTACAGCTCAATGGCGACCGATACGCTGGTTAAAAAAAATGTGTAATATCATCTACTCTGACAAATCTTCGTTTGCCTTATATGGCTATTGCTATTAGTGCGCACAGAGGATCTTACCACGAGCAACTGACCAATTGTTGATTGAATACGTTTACGCCAAATGCATGTTTACATGTTACTTCGAACACGTGGTTCAGGTCAATCTATGATCATGTCAATGGAGTGCAAAAAAAAAAAAAAAAACTAGAGGTACTATGAGCAATGAGTTCACTAAATGATACACCCCGCCTCCCATATGAATATAATGGCAGTGCCCATGTTTTGCTCTGGAAAATCAAAAATGTACATCAGATCAAAAAGTAAAATAGGAGGTGCACAATGGCAATATGTACTTAAGAATCTGTGAAAGTTTCATTAAATTTCCTTCAGTGGTATGAGAGGAGTTGCGGATAAGAGATGGGTACCCCAAAGCGTAACAGACGGACGGACGGAAATACCAATTACTATATACCCTCCAACTTTTCAAGCGGGGGGTATAAAAATGTTCTTATGAACAAAATGCAAACATTAGAAACTATAAAAGATATCACGGGGCTCAGGGGCGTGTTTAATTTGTTGTTAACTAAAGAAAAATACGTTTTATAAAATATATAGGTTGTTATTATCATTTTACAAACAGCGTGACAGTTTGCTTGATGGGGCGTGATAAAATTTTGTGTGCTGGTTATCATTTTCCTCATCGATTGGATCAATGAAATCAATACTGATTTACATATGAAACAGGGATTCTTACAATACCCCGATGATACTGGCCAATCACATTGAATGGTTGTTCACTAGTGCAGCATATGAACTCACTAGCAACACGTGGTCAGTCAAAGCCCGTTTTCTGTCATTAAAACATGTACATGTTATACGTATTTAAAAACCCATCCGGTCAAATCACAACAAATATAATACGAGGGGCGTTCAATAAATAATGTCATAAGCTCTATAATCACATACAACATAGAAATCATATGACATAAAGCTTGACTTTCTCTCATGATTTAATCTTTAATAAATTGATTACAGTTTTTGTGACCACTTTTCTTCATATAGTTTCATTGTGAGAAGCTGTTCGAGACACTACATGATAAATGTATGGTAAAGAATCAGTATACCAGAGTAAAATTAAACGCTTCATGAAAGCTGCTGTAAAACTCGTTAAGAATCCCAAAGAAATAGTCAACGATATATCCAATCAGCAATCAATGTATTTTTTATAGACATATGAGCATGTGGATTTAAATGAACAAAATGATATAATGGGCATCAAAAATAGGTACCGTCCTTGGGGACAAACACTGACAACAACTTATTGACTGTTTGCCAAAATTCAACAAATTATCACTGCTCATGTTTGATTGACTTCAAGACACATAGCAAAACTGGTAGACATTATTTTGGGGTAGTTTACACTTTTTTGCAGAAACATTTGACAGAAAAAAAACTTCAAAACAGAAAAAAACTCAATGGTCACCCTATGTTTTTAAAAATGACTGAAAACGACACCATGTAAGAATATCTAAAGAATTATTTTTTTAAAAATCAAAAGTTGGTTATCAACATTTGTCTGAAATTCAAATAGATAATGAAACTTGAATCCATTGCTCTAAACCCTCAAAACAAATTTACAATAAGATGCACTTGACAAAAACAGTCAAGGTTTGAGAAAAACTATGAATTGCAAAAGCACAAAAACAGTTTCATATGCCATTTTCTTAAATACTAGTGATATTATTGTTCAAATTCTTATTCGGGGAGGCAATACAATTTCTGGAGAAGTCTAGAAAGCAATTTTTTGCTAATAAATCGAAAGGTTTAGGAGAGGCAGGAACTAAATAAGGAATCCACTACATTAAATTTCTTCATGACAGCGTCCAAATCAACAAGCCATGAAGGGTAAAGGAGTTTTTAGGATAAACGGAAAATTAATGTTTTGTCACATAAACAATATTTGCCAGATCTTTCACCCTTTGACTTGTTTTATTTCTTAAACTTGAAAAAACACCTTTTAGAAAGAAGAAACAAGTCCAGGAAAAAATCATAGCATCTGCCATATTCCAGTATACGAAGGGTCATACCCAAAAAGGTGTTCTAAAAAGAATCAGGAATTGGAGGAAAATGTCACGGACATGTGTTTTAATTAAAAGAGAATATTGAAAAGAAATCATTAAAGCTAAATCATTGAAAAGCGTTTTTTTGGTTCTTTCCGAGCACCGATGACATTATTTATTGAACGTCCCTCGTACATGCTTTTTTGAGGATAGAAAACGGGCTATGGCTGACCACGTGTAGCTCCTGACTACAAATGCCGTACTGGGAAACAATTATTCAATGTGATTGGCCAGTATTATTGGGGTATTGTTGTATTCCGAGTTTCATATGCAAATAAGCATTGATTTCAATGATCCCATCGATGAGTGAAATGACAAGCAGCACACAATATTTTAGCACGCCCCATCAAGCAAACTGTCACGCTGTTTGTAAAATGATAATACTATATATAGAGTAAATGCATAGAAGAAGCTGCTCGTTTTCCTTACCCTTGAAGTGCTGGTGTTCTGACCTTGACACTAACAACGTATACATTTTAAAAAACATATTTTTCTTTAGTTAACAACAAATTAAAAACGCCCGTGAGCCCCGTGATATCTTTTATAGTTTCTAATGTTTG